CCWGTTAAAAATGCTGTAGCCTTTTGGATCCATGTCAGAARTAGGTTTCTTGTTTCGCACAGGATCATTTTATCCATTTTATGTTAATAAGGAGATAGCAGAGAATATTTTTAAATGGAGATTTAAACCCATGAGGTGGCTTCTGTGCAAGRAGAGAGGTGCCTCCATTAGACCCGGTTTGGGAGTGTCCCTCAAAAGCCAKTTCTCAGCTGATGTCTGCCTGGGACCAAGTTAGCTTCCAGCTGGCTGGGAGACGGGTGGAGCCCAGCTCGGTGTGTCAGTGCCTTTGAAAACGCTGTCACACTCCCTTTTCTGTGTTCCTGCACCGACTGGCAATTGTGTTGCTGGCTCCCAGTCACGTCCACCAGCTGGTCAGTTGTCTGCTGCAGGGAGGGGTGACGGTGCAAGGCAAGAAGCATCTGAGGAAGTGTGATACCAACTGGGGTTCCACAGGGCCTTGCTCCAAAGGTTTCTTTCCAGAGAAGGACAGTGGGGAACCATTGTGTTCCCGTGTCCCAGAGCCAGGGCTGTTTGAAGTTTATGAATCACTAGTACAGCTTCATTGTGGATTTGGTTAGTTGGCCATAGAAGAGGGTTCCTGGACTGCCGTGTCCTCCTGAGCACTGAGCAAGTGACAAAGCACATGTCCTGTCCACACATGTCTCAGTGTCCCTGCCTCCAGGACTTGGTCTGRTGCTGGGCTCTCTTCTTACTGGGACCTGTGGTTTCTGGCTGAGCAGGATGACTGTGGCAGKGATGATGCTGGAGAAGGGACCTCCTTGGCTGAGAGCCCCTGCAATGTCCTTCCTTRTCCCTTTTGCCTCCCACAGACATCATTTGACCACAGTGTGAAGAGCTCTCCATCCTTCTCTGCTGGGCTCCTGGGAGTTGTGTGGACATTCCTGACTGGAGGAGTTCTGCTGGCACTCTTCTTTCTCATCTTCACAATTCGCTTCAGGAAAAACAGGTAAGGGCATCCCTCTTATCATGGGAGATTTCCCATGAGCTGGAGAAGCAGAGTCAGGCTCGTTCAGGAGGGCTCTGAGCTGATGGCCAGCTAAGGATCAGGAGGGCCTAAGCCTAAAGGAACAGCTTATTAGGGCAAGCAAGGGTAATGCCGGGGATGTTGCAGCTTGCTCCATCACACAAAGTTTTGATCACTGGAGACAGTCTTGTTTGGACTGCTCCTCTCCTTCCCAAAGCAGGGAGCTCTAGACAGGATGAGAGGAAATGCAGTGAGGGTGATTCAGGTTGGACACCAGGAATAATTTTTTCACTGAAAGGGTTGTCAAGTATTGGAACAGGCTGCCCAGGGAAGTGGTGGAGAAACAAGTGTTCAAGAAATGACTGGATGTGGCCCTTAGTGCTGTGGTTTAGTTCCCATGGTGGTTTTTAGTCAAAGGTTGGACTTGATGATCTTGGGGGTCTTTTCCAACCTYAATATGACTCCGTGGGTGCCTTYTGGTGTGGCACAGATCAGTGTTCTCATCCTGAAGGTGCTACTCAATAAAACCATCAACAGGAGTGGGCAAAAAGAGAGCTCATTTCCTTTCCTGCTGCACCTTCTTGAGAGCATCTCTCTGAGCTGCACAGCTCCATAGCAAAGCCATCATACTCACCACAGTGTACCATGTGCTTCCTGCTGCTGGGCCACTCATGCTTTGAAGATGTTGCTAACCCGTTCTGGTCTTGGTGTTTCCTCATATTGGTGGGAAACATGATGTCCACTGGTGAGAGAAGCTGGTGGTGGAGTGTGGACTTTTTTGGTGCTGTTCAGTCTGCACAAAGGAGGTAAAAAGTCTTGCTCCCCAGAGAGCAGCATAAATCAAGCAGAAGGCTTGGCAGTTCCTCATAGCTCGGCCTGTCTCAGCCAGTGCCTCAGCAGTTCTGGATGTCTCGTCTGCCTCCTTGCCACCTTCTCCTCTGCTTCATTGGCCCCTTGCTATCTCAACTATTTCCTCCCCAAGGGACACATTCTTCTCCCAGGCTTCACCTGGCAAAACCTTTGGTCTCCCATGTGCCATTGTTTTGCACAGAGATGTCCATCTGAGTGCATCCTGGACTGATGTTTAGTTCTCTGGTTGCTTTAAGGAACTTAACGCTACTGACAACATCTGAGCAGTCGAGAGGGTCCTGCCTGTAAGGGTTTGTGTTGGGAGCCCTGTGCCTGCTGGGGTRCAGCAGCTGCATGTCCTGCATCCCCACCTGAAGCCCTTCCTTTACTGCGTGGTCCAGAGTTCAGTGGCCACCTGATTGATTAGGCCTTCAGAGATGTTCTCAGAACACGCTGTAATGCATGTGTGTTGTTTATTTGCTCTGCAGTAAATAAATACTGCTCTGCCTCCTGAACCTGCCAGGGCAGAGGAGACTTTTCTCAGCTGCAGCTGAGAGCGTGAGCTGAGGAACGTCTTTCTCCAAGGGCTGAGACATGGTGAGGAAAGCAAGGAGRGACAGAGGCAGGGAATTCCAGGCTCTGGGACTGCAAGGCTGYGAGCCAGGAAGGAGCTCAAGGGCAGAGAAAAGCGATGACTTGGCAKCAGATCGAAGGGGCAGAGTTGTTGGGGGGATGGCAGGAGGTACAGCTTTCACTCGATGAGCTTGCTGGGGAAGGGTGACAGGTCATGAGAGATCAGTGGGTTGATTCTCCCCTCCTCGAATACAGTTACAGGATTATGAGTRATGGGGTGAAATTACAGAGGGGAGACTGTAACCTGAACCTTGCTGGCAGCTTCCTGAAGTTGAGACTGCTGAGTGTGGAGGTATCTCCTCAGAGGAAGGAGCAGTGGGAAGGGCCTGTTCCTGGGGGCACACGTAGCTCTTGCACCCAAAGCTGACTGCTGGGGGCACTCACCCTGGGCTGTGTTGGTGTGGTTTACCAAAGCAGAAGTGCTGGCATAGGGCAAAATGAATACTTTAAAGACGGTGAAGTGCTCCAACAAGGAAGGGGGGAGGATGGGACTGTGGAGTAATGGCTGAACTTTTGCAGCAGAGGTGAACAGCACAGGCTGGGCTTGGATAAATGTGTCAGCATCCCTTATGACCATCATCATCCCTGTAAGGGGACCTCGCCCCTGTGCTGCCAGGTCATGACGCTCAGTAACTGTCACCAACTCCCCTGCTTTGTTTCCTGGAGGATTGTGAAGATGTCCAGCCCCAATCTCAACATTGTGACCCTGCTGGGCAGTGCCTTGACTTACACGAGCGCTTACCTCTTTGGGATTCAGGAGCAGAGCCTGCCATCTGGAGACTCGGTGGAAAAGCTTATTCAGGTGAGCKGGGTTTTGCTGGGATGGGCACCTTGACGCATGTACAGGCCTGTTCATACGTGCTGTCCCCCTGCCAGCTGTCACCTGTGCCTGCTCTGTCCCAGCCACAGCCTGTCACCACCTCACTGCTCAGCTGGGCTGTGGCTTTCACATACGCAAAAGGCAACCATGCACTTTCTGTGTGAATGGCCTTCTCTGTTTCACAAACCACATCTGCACCGAGGAAGGGATTCGAGGCAGGTCCCCAGGGAGGAGTCCCATAGGCAAGCAGGCTGCTGGGCTTGTGAGAGTGCAGCAGGGAGAGGGGTTAGCAAAGGGAGAAGGGATCCTCCACACAGCCACCACTGCCTGATATAGCTCAGGTGCTGTGAGGCTGCGGGTGAGCTTTTTGGCTGCAGAGCAGGTCTTCATCAAAATACTCACTCGTGTGATGAGCCCCCATGTCCTGGCCTGAGGCAGCCTCCCTGCCAGACCGAGGACTGGGGATGCACCCATGCCRGGGAGTGGGACATGGGACAGTGCACTCCCTGCATCCTGCCCAACCACTGGGCTGAGGATAATTAATGGAGGTGCTAGCAAGTGATTTGTGGATGCTGGGACCTTCTGTGCCCTGCTGCTCACAAGCTGCCTGGCTCTCCCTGCCTGACCCTCTGATGAGATTCTCTAGGGACGGGGAGGAAAAGGTAGGCAGCAGGCATGCCTGCAGGGGAATACGTGCCTTTGAATTTACTTCAGCCTGTGGTCAGCTTTCTAGTATCTGATACCACCCTCCAGAAGTCAGAAGACTGTAGACATGTCCCCACCCATCCTTATTGCATCCCAGGCTGGGAGGGTGTGTGGAGCCCCTTTCAGCCCCCCTGCTCTGACCCTGGCAGGTGAGGCTCTGCCTGCTGTGCGTGGGGACCTCCCTGGTGTTCGGGCCTGTCCTGGGGAAAAGCTGGAGGCTCTACAAGGTGTTTACCCAGAGGGTGCCAGACAAGCGTGTGGTGAGTACACAGCACCCASAGAGGTGGGAAGGGAGCGGGACAAGCTTAGCAGGAGGGCCAGCACCAGCAAGTCCCAAAGCATTGGGGGATAGCAGATAAAACTGGCACATGACAGGGATGGATGCCACAATGACMGGTCTAGTTTCACACCTGGCTGGGCATGGGCTCCTCATTTATTCCTGTACAATGAGACGGGAGCTTTTCCATTCCACAGGCAAGGGGGTTCCCCAGTGGAGTCCCAGCCCCATCATGGAGCAATGTTCTCATTTTACATTGGCCACGTGCTTTCATTAAGCTACACACCAGTGCTGGTGGTCAGGTCTGGGCTGATTGTTTTTGTGGGATGAAAATAAACCTGATATCCTCAAAAGCATCTGATGTAGGGCCATCTGCAGATGCATCTGATCTCCTCTTGAAGGCAGGGAGGGAGCTGGGCAGTCCCCTGCAGCACTTAAGGACAAGGATTTAGCAGCTAGGAGGGAAATCTGTACACATAACAGTGCACTTAAAACTTCCAGTAGTCACTGGAAAGTGACTGCTGGGGGCACTCACCCTGGGCTGTGTTGGTGAAAAAAGGAGGTTTCAGATGAAAGATGAGACAAGAGAGTTTGCAGGGGAACTGGGTACCAGCAAGGACTTCKGTTCCACACTGGGATCTGTGTTAAACTTGCAAAATTATAATCCTGCCAGGTGTTTTTCTCCACCCATCTTGTCTCTGCTGGTGATATGGGCATAAGGGATTATAGTTTGAAAGGACTGTTTCCTGTCACAGCATTTACCTGCTATCCACACCATCAGGGAGGGTTTATACCTGGCCTGAAGTCTGATTAGCCCTCTAGGAATTTTGGAATTGAAGACAGAGATCCTGTGGCTAACTTGTATGTAGGTGAGCTGCTGGACACCTGTCTGGAGGACATAGTAGGATGGACGTGTCATTTGAAAGAAACAACAGAAAGGGAACCAAGGGGGATGGCGGTCATTGGTGTCCATTTTTTCCCCACAGTGACTTTTGCTTGTTGTGTGTTTGCAGATTATCAAAGATCTGCAGTTGCTGGCGATGGTGGCAGYGTTGGTGCTGGCAGACACTGTGCTGCTCTTGACATGGGTATTCTCTGACCCCGTCCAGTGCTTCCGAAGCCTCAGCGTCTCATTGCGGGTAAAACGATGAGGAGGGGTGGTGCAGGCTTTTGCCATGTCCCTTCTGAACTCTGTGGCCAAAGTTGGTGGTGGCCAGGAATTTGGGGTGCTCTTTGTAAAACAACAGAAAGAGAAAGAAGGCAGAAAACCTTCTGGGCACTCTGGATTTGGTTTATGTCTGGTCACATACAGAGGTGAGGGTCCACTGCAAAATTTTCAAGTCTGTGCAGATCACCTGCGTGACACAGGAGAGTTCCAAGGCCTTGGCTTTAGAGGAAAGTTCACCAGCCCTGCTGGCAGCAGAAGGCTTTAGCCCTCTGCCCCTGGTAGCTCCAGCTTTGACCTCTCCTTTCAGAGATTTACAGAGGAGACCAGCTTAGCTGCATCTTCCTATCCGTCTGTGCCAGGCTGCAGCATTCACTTCTGCCTTTCCCTTGCCTTGCAGGCGACAGAGAAAGGCATGACGTGCTCCGTGAGCCGGGTGCAGTCCTGCGCATCGCTCTATTCCGATCTTTGGCTCGTTCTCATTTTAGGCTTTAAGGTATGTAACCTCTTGACTGATTCTTGTGTTGTATCTCACCTCCTCCCTGTCTTGCAGCCTAAATTGTTGAGCAGCTTTTGTCATTTCACTGCCCTGCCAAGCTACATGTCCATTGTAGATCCTGGCTACTCCTGTTCATCTCGTGAGCCGTTCTGTTTCCAGTCCTTCTCATCCTGGGAAGGGTGAAAGCCCTGCTWGCCACTTCTTCCCCTACCTCACCACATCCTTTATGTTCACTGTGCACATACAGTCTCTCTAGTTCTCTCCTGATAACCCCCTGACCTTCATCTATCTCACTTCTTGAAACTCACATCTTGCTGTTCTTTTTGTCACACTCCCTCCCTGAAGACTCCGCTGAATGGCCACTGCAAGGGTGCACCAGGTGGCTCAACGTCTGAGTCCTGTGACTTCAAACCAAGRAGGTGCTGATGACAAGTGCTTGGTCCCCACCTTTACAAGATGCTTATCAGCTTAATTATACCTCTGGGGTGCACTTTCACTGGTGAATCTCTGCACATGGCCATTCTTTTCCAGCACTTTTCCAGTTAGTTATACTGATGTAACTATGTAGGTATAATTATCGYTGTAATTATCTGTGGTCTCATGTGTCTCTGGTATGGCACAGGCTGGACACGTTTCAGAAAGCTGATGTTGATGAAGCTTGTGAGATCACAGTCTTTTTTTGGGAATGGCTTCATCTCTGCKTGCAGCACAAGCACTTCCTTTGTGATTCACTGTAATCTAATACTCACTGACCATCTACCCAGAACCACTGCGAAAAGAGCAAAAAGGGACCTCACAACACAGCCAARTCCTTCTGCTCTCTACACTTAATTTCAAAGGCATTAATCTAGACTGTCCTTGAAAGTCCTTTGGTTTTAGGGAATGTAGGCATTATCTGGGCTTTCAGTGCTGTGTCTCCACCTCTGATATTGCAGTTTGTGTTAGGCTTTAGACAGGTAACATCTTTGCCTACAGCCCTTACAATACCCTTTTTGAAATAAAACCTCCCCATTATCAGCTCCAGCTAAYCTTTTTTAGTGTTGCATTGAATCTGGCCCTGTTCCTTTCTACTTACTGGGGGTCATGGAGTACTTCTGTGGGGGTTTCTCTGGAGTTAGTGTGGATTTACACTAATGTGAGAGTAGGCTTTATCTCTCTGTGTGCATAGTACTTCTTAGCATCCACAGCATTAATGTGCTCAGCCCTTTGGGAAGACACTCAGTGTATTATCCTGGTTTTACTGGCACAGAGCAATGAACAGAAATTATTTGCCAAGGACATGCCTGGAATTAAGAGCAAAGTCCTCTGCTCAAGTTTAAAACAAACAAACAAACAAACAAACAAACAAACCACTTATTCCTGTGCTTACTGAGAGTCCTAGTTTATGAGACGGCAGTGCTGTTGTCTGTGTCCCAGATACTGTATGAATTTAAATGGGACTTTGGTGCTGTTTTTTTCCTACTCAGGGATTAGAGGTTGGCTTGTCTTTGGGCCGTTTGGAGGTGCCCCATGATGGATGTGGTTATGATGCAGTGCAGATTCCACAAAGCAGGGTCAGGCACCAGCCTAGTTCCCAGCAAGGCAGGTTTCACTCTTACAACCTTGCCTTGCGAATTTGTGCTGCTCTGGAGTCAGGAGTCTCACCAGAGATTTGGACATGAACCTCTTTTGCCTGTCCCTGGCAGTGGCCATCACAGACATCAAGCAGCCACAGCACAGAGGGCTTCAGATGGGTCTAAAAAACATTTCATGTCACAAAGTACTTCTTGATGCCCAAATAACAGTGAYTGTTWGTAAAAGTTTGACACTTACTGGGTWGCACAGGAATAATAYAGGTCAYGTTCCCTGTATTCCAGGCCCTTGCAGGAGCTGGGACTTTGTTCAGTGATATTTCCAAATGAACCTGAAGGCAGACCATGCACTGTGCTGTGAAGGCAAGCAAAAAAATACTTAGTGTTTCCTGCTAGTGTCACSTAGGGAAGGAGAGGCTCATCCTGAGCACACTGGAAAAGTGCATGCATGGGACCCTTGAGGGGCAGCCTCCTCTGAAACAACTGGTCTGCTCAGGGGGAGCCTGTGTGTACAGAGCCCTTCTGTAGTGCCTTTCCCTGCTACTGAGTCAGGAAACAGCAAAGGGAAGGGAGAAGAATTGCACCTGGTAGTTTCCTGGATTATTGCTATTTAAAGAGGCACCAAGTACATCCTCTTCCCTSCAGTCTAAACCACCATTTCTCCTTGCCTTTTTCTTCTGAATTCCTTCTGGATATCCTTCCTACTCCCTCAGATGTATGTTGTTACTCCTTGCTGGCACCTCCTGCTGCATCTCTGCAGGGACCACTGCCTCCTCTCTGTCTGCCTTTTCCTTTTCCGGCTCCAGGGTGTCCAAGGGGTGGTTTTCACAATTCCTCCTGGCCATCCCCTCCTCTGTGGCAGCACCTGCTGACCTGACTTTTGGCTTTTGACACTCCTTGGCTGGAACCCTCAGTGCCCACAGTGCCTTCACTCCTGCCCTGTGTCCCCAGCCCCACTCCTGGCCTGCAGCMGCATGCTGGGTGTTTGCTGCAGCGTCACCACCGCACGCTCTGGGTCTGCATTATAGATCAAAGAGCATTAATTAGGATTGCACTGAGTGTGTCTGAGCTCACAGGGCTTGGTGCAAGCTGGAGGTTGACACCATCAGGCTGTAATTTTCCACATTCTGGAAACCTCTTTTTTCTGCTTCCAGAGTATCTTCCTGCTATATGGGACCTACTTGGCCGGTCTGACTGACAATGTCAGCTCCTCACCAGTCAACCAGTCCTTGACACTCATCGTYGGGGTCAACCTCGTTTTCCTGGCTGCTGGCACCATCTGCTTAGTTCACCGTTTCTTCCGTACTTGGCACAACTTGCTGTTTGGCTTTACCTCTGGAGGCATCTTTGTGTGTACAACCACGATCAACTGCTTCATCTTTGTCCCACAGGTATGCTGCCACCTCTGTGCTGTCATTTGGCTGGAAACAGGCACATTTTTGGAGTTTAACAACAGCAGCCATGAGGGTCAATGCACTCACTTCACCGCTTTTTTTTTCCCCAAATTTTTGGACTCACCTGCACAGGTCATTCTCCAAGCCCCACCCCACTTCATCCCGGTGGTTCTGCTTCCCCAAACAAGTTCCCTGAGTCTCAAAGAATCACAGAATTGTTTGTGTTGGAAGGGAGCTAAAGATCATCGAGTTCCAACACCCCTGCTCTGGGCAGGGAAGCTTCCACTAGACCAGGTTGCCTGAAGGCCCATCCAGCYTGACCTTGAACATTTCCAGGGATRGGCCATCTTCCCTGGGCAGCCTGTTACSGTGTCTTAYCATTCTCATAGTGAAGAATTTCTTTCATATATCTAATCTAAACCTACCCTCTTTCAGTTTAAAGCCATTCTCCCTTGTCCTATTACTGTGTCCTTGTAAAAAATCCATCTTTCAGCTTGTCCCTTGTCCCCTTTGTGTCCTGGAAAGTCTCCAAGGAATGCAGCACTGCTGCTCAGAAACCCTCCTGCAGGAATGTGTCACAGGTGACAGCCATGCAGACAGCACACAGGGAGGTGAGGCAGCCACTGGCCTTCTCCTCCTCCTGCTCCATGTAGGTTGTGGGATCTGTCCTTCAAGCAGTTGTCCTTTCCTCCTCCCTCACATGCCCACTCCCACCAAGAGCTTCTGCCCCTGGCAGGGATGGAGCTGGCTCCAGGTGGCCCAGCCACACTCAGAGACTTCTTTGCTGTTGGTGGTCCCCAGGGGAGGCTGTCCTCCTCTGCACTCTAGGAGCAGGAAGCTGGGCTTTGCCACAAGTGAGGAGGAGACGGAGGCGGAGGTGTTTAAAGGAAGCCTTTTGTGGTGAGGTGAGGCACTTCTGCTTCCTGTGTCCTCCAGGAGCAGCCTGGTGTGCCTGGCCACCACCTTATTGGGAATAATGCTCCCATTGTTAGAGGGAGAGGAAACAGTTATTTACTCAGTTGAATGTTTGCAGGGATGTTTGGGCTCAAGGACATGAGGTGAGAAAGGGAGGAAGAGGTAAAGCTGACAAAAGAGCACATCTGTGCAAGGGAGGGCTCAGGGGATCTCAGCCATGTATATAAATATCCATGGGGGTAGAATAGAGAAGGGGGAGCCAAGCTCTTCTCAGTGGTATCCACTGACAGGAGAGGGGACAATGGGCACACTGAAACACAGGAAATTCTATTTAAACATAAGGAAAAGGCTGGAGTTTTTTCTGCTCAAGTTGTAAAGCACTTGAGCAGAATGCCCAGAGAGGTTGTGGAGTCTCCATCCTTGGAGATACTCAAGGCCCAGTTGGACATGGTTGTGAACAGGCTGCTGCATCTGACCTTGCCTGAGCAAGGCAGTCGGGACGCGATGATTTCCTGCCTCAGCTGAGGCAGCGTAACTGCAGAGCTCCGAGCCCTCAGATGAGCAGCCCTTGGGAGTGAGGATCCAAATSCCCTGTGAAGAGCACCTGCTGGTGMTGCTCWRCCAAGAAAAAGGTCTCTTGGACTGAGGGTGGAGAAGCTGATGAGCTGTACTTGCGCTCTGCCTGTACCATTTTTCTGTGGGAGCCTGGGRCCCTYGAACATTTTATTTAACTTGAATCTTCGAATTCATTACCTTGTTTTTCCTAATGGGCTTGTTTTTCTATGGCTCATCTGAGATCAATAAACAGCTGGAGCTGGGCTGCATAAGGCTTCAAGGCAAACACTAGATGAGAAAACAGATACTAAACATTGCTGGTTTTCAGCTTGTCACCAGTGATTCGGGGATAAGGGGGCATGCGTGACACTGCCTTTGTCTGTCATGGAGTCAGGGAGTGGGGAGGAGAGGGAGGGGGCTTTTACAGTGTGCTCAGCAGCCTCAGTGCATTCAGGCACTGACCCTCTCTGCATTAAAAGCTGGAACAGGGAAAGGTTCAGATGGGTGGGAGGCTCCAAGTGACACAGCAGCCCCTCGCTCAGCCGTCTCTTGCTGGCTGTCTSTGCTCCCCCATCACACCCTGCCTTTGTCTCCCCCTCTCCATCCCTTTGTCTCCTTCGCGCTTGATCTGTGCCTGCCTCACGCTGTGTTGGCCGGGAGCTCTGTGGATAACACCCTCTTCTACTCCCCAGCTCAAGCAGTGGAAAGCCTTTGAAGAAGAAAGCCAAACCATGAGCCACATGGCAAAATATTTCACCAGCCCGAGCAAGAGCTGCCGCTCGGTGTACAGCGAGGAGCAGCTCTACCAGCTCATAGGGGAGAAAAATTCCATGAAGCGGCTGCTCACTGAGGTACAGGGCTCTGCCAACCTCCCTCCTCCAGCTTCTCCCCTTCCCTTTTGTGGGCTGAAGGCTTTGCAGGGTGGGAAGCCCTTCTTTACACCCCTGTTCACACTGATGAACACTCACCAGCCTCTTCCTTCCTGAGGAGAAGAGCTGCTTTGTTTTGTCACGTCCTTCTGCAGCCCAAAGCACCAAAATTTTAGGGAGGAGTGCAGGAGAGCCTTCTTCCCATAGTCTGGCCAAACATGGTTAATTTAGAGGGGAGATGCTCTGTCTGAGAAAATCTTCCTGCTCTCTCACCTGCACTGCATGAAAGAAGCACCCCAGCTTGGAGAGCTGCCTGCCCAAATGAGCCCCTTCCCACACCCACATTTGGGGGGTGGCTGGGGAGGATGAGGTCACACACGCTGCCAGCRTGGCTCTTGCCRTGCAGARAGGGGTGATTTGTTTTCTGGCASTGCCTGCTTCCAAATTGGCAGYGTTTTCRTCCCCTCTGCCCGCCCYRCACTTGACAGGCTTATTTGTTTGAYGCAGAAAAACGCCGTGATCGAGAGCCTGCAGGAGCAAGTGAGCAGCGCCAAGGAGAAGCTGATGAGGCTGATGTCTGCGGAGAGCGGCTGCGACCCCCGAGCGCTGCCAGTGGCTCCCTGCACCCAGAGCTCAGGGCAGCCTGGGGACGTGCCAGGGGACTGCTGCCCCCCAGATGCAGAGAGGGACGGGTGGCAGCCCCCCGGTGTGTTGGGTACACCTCCTGTCAGCAGCAATGCTCAGGCTCTCCAGGAACACGCAACCCAGGAGCCCGCGTGCTCTCAGGTGCTGCTTTTTAACACAGGGGACAGCACCGAACATGGCCTGAAAGATGTCCCAGAGTGTGGCACACCCGGAGTGCAGGAGCAGCTGCCAGGCCAGGATAACTCAGCCGGTGTAGCCTGGGAGTCGTCCTCCAAAGTCAGCTTTGTAAACAGCGAGAAGCTGTGGGAAATTCTGCAAGAGTTAAGCCTGGAAGGCAAAAACTACAGCCCAGCCTTATCTGCGGGACTCCCACTGGGCAGCTGGGGCACCCCAGGTGAGCAGGGAGAAACACGGGTGGGCCAGGAGGGCCACCCAGGCATCCACACACCCCTCAGCCCCTACCTGGCGAGGCATCGTCGGAGGATCCCGTTGTCCCCTGCCTCCACACGCTTCCTTGGACACGTATCCCCTCGTGCCGGCCGCAGGGCAAAGGAAACAGCCAGCTGGGGCTGTGGGGAGTCACCACACAACTCCCTGGGAACAGAAGGGGAGGTGGCTGACAGAGAGCTCCTTCAGCCCCCAGCAGCAGCCCCTCCAGCCGTCCCAAGGGAGCCGTGCCTCCAGCCAGAGGGGTGGCCGGGATGGCCGGAGTCCCAGGGCGCTTTGTTGCGTGTCCAGCAGGAGCGGCGGCGGTGGCAGGGTGCCYCGAGGGGACCCGCTGAGCCCTCCCTGCGCTCGCTGTACTATTACCCAGACTCTGACTCCAGCAGCAGCAGCAGCTCTGAGGAGATGTTCCACGGCTGCCACCGACCCTGCTGCAAGGTTTGCTTCCAGAGCCCGCGCGGCTCCCTGGACAGCAGCAGCACGGACACGGACACAGAGGCCAGTGAGGGTGAGGAACACCCGGCAGAGCACCGCAGCGGGTCCCAGCCTGTGGTGAATTTCAAAGATGATCTGAAACCCACCTTTGTGTGACTGGGAGCACCCTGCCCCAAAGGCAAGTGCCCTCCCACCCCTGAAACGCTGGGTGTTTTCAGCAACATCCCTCTGGGAAATGTGCCTTGTTCTGGAATCCAGGGATTGGGAATAAGCCTTGGCCCGTTCTGGTTTGCAGTGTCAGCCCCAGCYTGGTCAGACATGACTGCAGGCCGAGTTTGGCTGAGAGGGGGTTGGCAGCACTTGGGGACGTGGTGGTGGCTTTGTCCTGCCTGCTCTGGGCTGCTGCCTGTGTCCCATGGATACCCAGCACTTCTGTCCATCCTGGTGCCAGCAGTGGAGAGGCTGGGCTGGGTRGCCTGTCAGAGCCCAAACTTCATCTCCTCAGAGAGCTTTCCCTTTGAGACCTGGGTGACTGGCACTGGCAGGAAGCAGCATCCTGCTGCAGAAACAGCCATGGCTTCTTGCACACTCCATACGGACCCACAGAGGACTCCTTCCCCCAAGCATCCCACTGGCATCATCCCCACCTTGGGATGGCACACAGATGCCAAAAGGAGCTGCAGGCTGCCTCTCACCTGGGGTGTGCTGCTCCCAGGCAAAGCAAAGACTTGGGCATGAGGTGTGCACAGGAAACTTTTAGGGTTTGGTGGGATTTTTGTAGCATCTGAGTGAGAAAATGGATGGTGTCCGTGGAGGTGTCTTTGCATTTTGTGTAGATCAGGTGCATGGTTGTAGGTGAGAGTCAGGTCAGAGCTGAAGGGAAAGGCAAGGTTGCAATTGTAAAGGAGGATCTGAAAAGGGTTTTCTTTTTTTACCTTGATTTCTGGATTTTGTGCCCTTCTGTTTGTCTTTGTATGGATGATGTAATCTGGAATAAGGTTTGTTTAAATTAATATGCTCTGTTTAATTTTTATCTTAGAAATACCAAGAACAGTAAATCCAGTGTGTGTGTGTGTTTTTGGGGATATTTATCATGGCTTRTTGTTGCCTCCACAGGAATTCAGGATGCTGAGACCTGTGCCATATAAACCTTCTGGAGAAAGGTTTTATTAAAAGGGCAGGTGTCAGAGGAATCTCAGACCTGGTTTTGAACAAAGCACATTAGCACTGCCCTCTCCATTACCCTTTATGCTGGTGAAATCCCTCACTTCTCTATCCCTTCACTTGTGTCACCTTTTTTCCCCCCATCACCTCCACAGTTTTCCAAGCTTGCATGTAGGGCAAATCACCAAACTCATGAGGAACAACATTCCCACAGCCCCTGTTCGCTTCTAAAATGGAAACACCTCAGACATAGCATAATTTTTTTTTTCTTTTTTGGTCGCTTTTTGCTACTAGAAAACGGTTTTCTTTCAGTTTGTGGTGGGGGTTTTTGGGTGGGTTTTTTTTTTGTTTGTTTTTGTTTTGTTTTTTTTGTTTGGTTTTTTTTTGTTTTTAAGCTGTCTGAGCGCTTAAGGCTCTCAAACCCGGAGCCAGGGGTTTCCCTGCGGTGGGATCGCTGTTCCCATCTCCAGCCTCCTGCAGTTCTGCAGCGCTCGCAGCAGGTGCTGCTGCTGCCACACCGGCTGTTTCAGCAAACATCGAGTGCATCCCATGGCATCGCCACGCTGGGACAAGGGGTGGGACGAGGATCCTGTTAAATATGGGTCAAAACCGCTTTGTCCCCACCCCCAAATGTGTTTACAATAGCACYTTGCTCTGGGGCTGGGAAATGCTGYAGCACAGTCAAAGGAAATGATCAACCATGAACCCACCTGAAAGTGACTGATATAAAAATTAACTTSAAATCCACTGGTGAATGCAGAAAAAAACCCTCTGGAGGACTTTGAACCTGCGGTTTGTTTGGAAACTCACCGCTGGAATTTGAGGCTGTTGCTTTTCTRTGTGGTGACCAGCAACCAGCACCTGGAAACTGTACAGCTTGTGATCACCTGCTGAGCAGGCTGAGAGCATGGTGGCTGAGGTCACACCTCAAATCTTGTTCTCTTTTGGGCTCTTTCCTTGCTGCAGGCTGTTTAGGAAGGGTCACATCACAGCCAGGATGGGATGTCTTTCCAAACCTGTTTGGCTTAGCAAGAGAAAGGAAGGCAGGAAGCCTTGAGGTCCTTGTGYCACAACCACCAGCCATGGCTCAGTCTGCCTCTGTTACCCTGTCAACTCGCCACTGTTTAGGAGCTAAAAAAATTGATCTTGATTGTGATTCAGCTGCCTGGTTTAAAAATAAAAAGGAAAAAAATGAAAATAGCTTTATTAGCTATGGCAGAGAGGGATTAAGCAAGGTTCTCTGGGGTGGGAATGCTGATTGTTGGTGTGGAGGTTTCCCCACTGCCTTGAGGATTGTGGAGAAGCACTCTCCTCCTCAGCCTAGAAACCAGACCTWTCTCTTCTCTAATCCAGTTTTTCATGGCTGTTTCTCCTTAGTCTCTACCTCTGGCTCTGCACTCCTGAAACTCCAGCTGCTGCTGTTAYCCCAAAGTCTGCGCTTGCAGCCAGAGCAGCAAAGCTGTGGATGTCCAGTTGTGAGGCACCAAAYATATCAGCATAAGCTGCATCCTGATTGCTGGGCTCGTGCTCAGGCAGAAAGTGATCTCATCCTTGGGGAACTCCATGAAGACAGGAAAAAATGCCATCAAAAAATTGTGGATCTTRGGAGAACGTGGATGGCTTAGTGGTTGATGTTCACTGCAGGAATTTTTTGCTACATGATCATGGTCTAAGGACATGATCCCTGCACACACCTGGCTGAGCAAGTTCATGGGATGCTGCTACATGGTTCCAAGAGTTTCTTTYTCTCTTTAAGGTTGTGTATTGAAGCTGCTGGAGCACATTCACTTTGGMATGTGTACCTCAGTGTCTGCAGTGGGGTTCCTTGCTTTCACACCCACACCACCACCTTGCCCCTGTGTGGAGGAGCCTGTAGCTGAGCTGGTTTTCTTCTAACTCAGGCATCCATTGCTGCATGCTTTGTGCTGCCAGAGCACAATCATTTATGTAAGAAGTTCTTTTCTTTTTTCTTTTCCTTTTTTTTTTTTTTTTGTCCTGGAGATTCTTGCAGACAGGATGGGTGCGAGGGACTTTGTCCTGCCAGGCAGCTAGATAAAGCACTCAGTGATTCAGCATTTATTGCACCCTACACAGATTCCTCTGTTATCATACCAACAGGAATGTGRGGCTAGAAGGGATCTCCTAGTCATCCTCATATTTCCCAGCAATGACAAGCACTGAGTCATAAAGTCCCTCTTGTTAATTTATCACAGTCCATCTTAAGTCATTGGGATTTTCTTGGCAGGTTATTCAAGAACCTCTCTTTGACAGAAGAAAACTTGTTTCTGATTTGCAGCCCAYATTTTTTCATAGCCTATTTTCATCTACTTGTTCTCATGCCAGTGCTGTCTTCTCGTTAGTAGCTGTGCTTCCTTCCCGTTCTCCAACCTACTCTCTTACATCTGATGAAGAATGTGGCCTCTTCTTCCCCAGGATCCCTGGTCTACTCAGAGAAGAGATTTTCTATTTTTAGTTCCCTGTAGCAGCTCAACTCTACCCCTCTTTAAGTCTGCAGGGAGGCATTGAGGGAGAGCCCTGGTTTTATTGCTGCCCTTCCCTTGGCAGCTGTGTGAGGATGGCTGTGAACACCAATGCCTGCCTCCAGCAGCACAGGAGTCCCAAGATGCTGGGACAGGATCATGCTCACCTTTGGAAAAAGAGAAGAAACGTGCTGGGAATGAGGACATTGGAAAGGCAGGCCAGAAGCAGGCAAAATTACTATTATTGGGTCATCAGGAAGCTGACATTTTCTCTGCACATCTGCAGTAGCCCTGGGGTTCTCAGCACCCATSGTGTGCTGGATTTACCACCAGTATTTTAATAATCTCACAGAAAGGCTGTTCATCCATGTTTCCTTCCAACACAACTCCTACAATTGCTGRGAGATGCACCTGTGCCTGGCAAGTGCAGAAACCATGAAGAGCTTTTATTTCTTGGAGTTTTCCATGGCCTAGAAAATCCATAAGGATCTGAGTTCCTTAGAAAGCCCCTGGTACCTCTCAAGGGGTTCACAGGAGGGGAAAATGAAAGCACACTCTCTGCAGAGTCCTGATGACATGATCCAAYATAGGAATAGCATGGATATTTTATTGGACAAGGTGAATATAATGAGCAAGGCACCCTTCTGGAGTTGTGCACWGGTTTCCAGGCAATTACATCTCGTATCTAACCCAAATGAGTCGGGTGATATTTCAAACCAAAGTGAACAGCAGGAATAATATTAGCTGATGCAATCACACCTTGAATTTACAGCAGTGCTCAGCAGATCCATGAGCAGTGGGATACTCTGTACATGATTACAGCAAATTCAAGCCCKTGTTTGAAAGCAGCTGAGTTTTGGTTGGGTTTTTTTTAACAGTCCCCCAAATACAGGTGGTGGATAAMGACTTCCTTTCCTCTGACAGGTGAATCTTTCATTGCTGGTGAATTACACTTTGGTGAGTATCAGTCAATTTTCTCACTATTACAGCCTTTTTCATGCCAGTAACAAAAACACATGTAGAGCTCTCCTGCTTCTGCRGTCCATTCTTCACAACCCTCCCAGTTCTCCTAATAACTGATAGGAGCATTAGCCCAGCATTTCTGTGTACCTGCTGTGCCTCAGTACAGCACCTTTGGGCTAAATACTTACTGCCCTCTCATGGAAAAAGGCTCCCAGGCCCCACTGCCTTCAGCCACAGCTGCCTGGAGGCATTTGAATTAAGCCTTTAAAGCAGACAAATGAAACACCAACAAAGTGTATCCAAGGATGACATGGGGTCTAATTTGCTCGAGGAGAAAACCTGGGAGGCAAGAGCCTTTTCTCATTCTGTTACACTCATCTTGGAGAGGAAAAACCATGGTCTCCTCTGTCTCTCACCTGTGATTCAAGTGAACACGAGACCACCTCCCCGAGCTGCATCAAGGCTTCTTCCCTCTATRTTTGCAAAATTGGCTCTGAGTGTTTCACCAGCAAGGCCTCAGTGAGCAGTTGATCCATCAAAGAACAGGAAAACAAGAGCTGATGCTCCCAGGTGGATCCTTTTTAACTTCCTCAGACAGAAGGTTTCAAATGGCAGTGAAAATCCCAAATATCCTCTTGAAAAAGTGAGTGAGAGCCTGGAGAAGGTGTAGAAAAAGTTCAGACAATGGTCTGGAGTATCAACGGGGAGACCAATGTTTTTGTTGTTGAGAAGTTGCTGTATTTGGGTGTTTTGTTCACAACAGCTGGTTTTAGTGAATTGAATAATATTTCTGTACATGTTCATGCATATATTTGTGTCCTTACACWGAGGAAAAACATCCCACTTTCTCATGAATATCCCATCATCTGGAAAAATTGGAATTTGGCAATGATCAATTAGAAATAGATAAGACCCTGCTCCCCATCAGCAAGTATGAGTTTTCTACCACTAATCAAACATTTTTCTAGATAATGACAGCATTAGAAACAACCCCACAAAAATGTGAGATATGTCTGGTAAAGCACTTAAATAAAAAAAAAAAAAGTCTTGCAGCTTTCCACTGGGAAAAATGAATGCCCTGCAACACAATCAGACCCTGGGCTGCAGCGGGGCCACGCTCCTGCAAGGACAGATGACACCTCTCTGCTGGACACAGCAGGGGCCTATTTATTTTGCAGAACTGGCCTATCCTCCCCCTGATCCAGACAGCATCAATCAGGYGGCAGCAGCAGGAGATAGGGTGGGTTTTGCACTGACCACCTACCTTCTGGTACAGCTGGAAATGTAGGAACAATATCATTTCCAACGTTTTTCATCGGATTTCAAGATCGCCGCTGAGCCCTGTGCAGCTAACGGCTGAGCAAGAGACATGCTGTCTGTCCTTTTACAGGATTATTGTAGAATAATTTCCCTCTGTGGCCAGCTTAGGCCGTTCTAATGCACAGTCATAAATGA